GTTCCCAGGTTTGATTAACGTGTGGAGAGTATCCGGCTAGACTTTACTGGAAGCACTATAGGAAATTTTTATGTTTGGATAAGTAGTAAATTTTGCAGTATATTTTTTACCTAAGCTGCCTGAGAATATGTTTTTCAATAAGATTTCTTCCATGCTGTTTTTCCTTATAATTTAACAAAATGTAATATGCACATAAAATATTATAGGTAATGTGTGTATATGTTACAAAAATTACACGATAAATACTTGTGAATCTACTGTGCAACCAAGAACCAAATTATTATTAATAATTTTTATATAGTTATAGATAGCAGTGGTTTTTTTTTTAAATAGCATTGTTTTATTCCAGTGTAAGTTTGTTTTTGGCTCTTTGACTCTTCCTGTGTTTTTTTTCCTTTTCTCCTCTCCCTGGTCTTTGTCTTTTTTTTTTTTTAATTAAGGCAAGTCATCTCAGAGATTTTGTCTGAGGTTATATCTACTTTGATCTATTTAAATCTTCAAGCTTGTTTGAAGATTTGGAACAGTCATTTACTGTTCTAAGTCTTACTGTTTCAGTCATTTTCTAAATCAGTCATTTACTATTCTAAACCTTACTGTTTTATAAAGCTGTAATTTTTTGGGTTGTTTGACTCTTAGATGCTCTACAATGATTTGCTTAACAAGCTGCTGAGTGAGGATTTATAGAAATGAGATACCATGATTTAAAACCTGATTTATAAAGACATGTTTGTCTATAAATGCCACTTAAGGCTTCTGAATGAATGTGGATAAATGAGACATATTATTGAAACAGGGGTCATTCCATAGAATAGTTACTAGAAATTCAATTACAATTTTAGATACAATTATAGATACATTGTATCTTACTATTTTTGAGAACTATGCCTGTTTTTTTTTTTTTTTTTCTTTTTCGTTTTTGTTGGTACCAGGGATCGAACTCACAACTGCCTGCTTACAAGGCAGGCGCTTATGCCGCTGAGCTAAATCCCCAGCCCCAGAACTATGCCTGTTTTAAGGGCAGAGGCAGAGTATCTTTTGTATAATTTCGGGGAGTCTTTCTATGCAGTGTTTCTAATGCTGTATGGTTCTGAACTTTCTATTGCAAGTAACAGAAATCCACCCCTTCCCCTGTTGAGCTACATCCTCAGACCCTCAGAAATTCCACTTAACTAGCTTAAGAGCAAGGGGATTTGTAGTCTTCCTTACATAGGTTGGGAGATTATTGCTGTAGCTATGATTCAATTTAGTAGAATCAGAGACTTGGGGACTGGAACTGCTTGTCTCTGTATTTCAGGATTTGTCCTTTTTATAGATTGGGTTTTTGTGTATTCTTAGTGAATAGAAAAAGAAAAGATAACAAGACAGATCCAAATTTAGTTTCTGAGTTTACAAATTTCATAAAGAGATTTTTCTGTACTTCTTAAGTCTATTCCTCAATTACTGTGTTCATGAGGATCTGTTCACTGGCCTAACTTATATATGTATTTCTCGGAGGAAAGAAAATGAGAAAATGTGCTACTCTGTAATGTAGTTACTAGTAGATTATTAGGTTGCTTTTAAATAGGCTTCAAAGAAAAGTAAAGGGGCTGGGGATTTAGCTCAGTGGCATAAGCGCCTGCCTTGCAAGCAGGCAGTTGTGAGTTCAATCCCTGGTACCAATAAAAAGGAAAAAGACCGTCCCCCCCCCCAAAAAAAAGAAGAGTAAAATCTGAAAGCTTAGAGTTAATGTGCTCAAAACACAGTATTTTTAGCTACTATTTTTTGTTATGAAGTAGTTAACTTCTTAAAAGGCTTATTGGGGGTGCTGGGGATTTAACACAGAGGCTCAAGTGCTTGCCTGGTAAATGTAAGGTCATGAGTTTGATTCCTGGTACCAAAAAAAAAAGGGGGGGACTTGTGAGGCCATAATATGGAGGTTTGTTTATAGCTCATTATTTTATATAAATTTTGTCACCATACAAATACAAAGCATCTGGAGATTTACTTTATTGTATTTATTTATTTGGGTATTAGGAATCGAACTCAGGCCCTTTTGCTTGCCAGGCAGTCATTGTGCTACTGAGCTACAATCCCTGACCTAGAAAATTAGTTTTAAAAAGTCACCTAATCTGTAATCTGGAGACAACTATTGAATGAATTTCTTCTGCATATTTTCTTGCGAAGATATAACCTTATGGTATTTGTTTTGATCAGTATTAACTTATTTATAACTTCTTGTCAACTAGTGAAAACTTAATATCATTCAATACAGATTCCATCATAGTTGTATATTGGTTTTTCATTTACTTTCCCAAGCTTAAAGATAACTTTCAATTTTCTTGACATATAATTCCATCATTCAGTAATTTTAATTGTTAATCTGTTCGGTTGTTCGTTTGATGGGTCTAGATCCTTAATTTTTGTTCCTTTATGAGGTTGATTTTTTTTTTTGTTTTATTTAACTACTTACAATTCTTGTGGATTTCCTTATTCTTTATCCTCTTAAACTATTAGCATATTGGTACTTTTTCTTACTGACTTCTCTGAGTTCTTTTTTTTTTTTTTTTTTTTTTTTTTTTGGTCTTTTTCTTTTTTATTGGTACTGGGGATCGAACTCACAACTACCTGCTTGTAAGGCAGGTGTTTATGCCACTGAGCTAAATCCCCAGCCCCCTTCTCTGAGTTCTTAAAAAGTCTTTTCTGTAAATGGTTTCTTAGCTTGCAGTTTTTAGTTTTTTCATATATAAACTTAAATTCTTTTGTGTATGTAAATTCCATTTTGCCTTTTGATAAGTTATTTTCTTATTTTTAAGTTTAGAAATTTTCTGCTTTCAAAGATCCTATAGCTTATCTTACTGTTTTACTTTTTGTTGATTAGACCTGTGTAACCTAAAATTTATTTTGAAGCATGAAAAAATGTTAAAATGTTCTTCTTAAGAGTAGCACTTTGAAGTTTTATATAAATCCTCTTGCTCTTAAAGTTTTCAAGTTAACTGCTTTTGAAGAAAAATACTATCTTAATCTTAGTTTTTTCTGGATTTTTTGGTGGTGTTTTTTTTTTTTTTTTTTTTTTTTTTTTTTTGTCCTGGGGATCAGGACAATCAGATTAGGACCTTGTGTTTGCCCAGACAGGTGCTATGCTGCTGAGCTATATCCCCGGTCTTATTTTTAGTTATTTCTATTAGCTAATATTTCTTGATTTTCTGTGAGATTTAAGGACAAGTTTTTAGTGACAGTAGAAATAAAAAAACTCTTATCTGGCAAATGTAAACTTTTTATTATAGTTCTGTTGGTACAGTGAAAACATTTTATTTTTTGGAAATAGTATTTGTTCATGAAGAAAATTATGACCGAAATCTGTTTAAACAGTGAGAAAATTCTAGATTCTTCAGGCAGCCCGTGGTTTGGAAAAGGCCTGTGCTTTGGCAGGAGCCCAGGAGAGGAAGTGTCTGTGTCTGCCGAGTTCTAGAAGGCTTCCCAAAGTCACTGTAAGGCAGCCAAGCAAGCAGCGTATTTCACTCGCTATTTTACTGTGTGGTTCTGGGAATATCTGGAAGTTGCAGCTAACTTGAGGGAGGAGATTTAGGAGTCTTCCAGAATTATTTTTTCTGGTGATCTATTTTTATTGAGATTCAAAGTTATTGGGGAAGGGATCACTTTTCAGCTTTGGAGGAATAGAAAGCTTTCAGTGTGGCCTAACTGAACCTGTTGGTTTAAGTGAATTCTCATGGGAAGAGTAGGAAATGCCTGCATAGAGAGAGAGGCACAGGGTGACAAGTTAGAGATACCAAGAGAGCTTGTTAGTGGGGCGGGTGGTACTGTGATGGTAGCTTATTCTCTTGTTAGACAGTAGAAAGATTTAGAGGCCCTATCTGTGATCAAGCAGCAGCAAGCAGAGCGCCAGCAAGGCCTCTGGGAAATCAAGGTAGAGCCTTCCTGTTGGTGAGTTGATACTCACTTGCCGTGAAGCATCCTTACTAGAAAAGACTACCACCGGAGCTAAGGAGAAAGAAGAAGGCTTTGCTGCCAGGATTAAAACAAGAAAAGGGAGAGAAAATAAGCCACAGTTAGGTACTCAGCTAAGATTTTTTTTACAGACGTGGTAGATCAGAGGGGAAAAAAACCACAAGAGTGAGTCTCTGAAGAGAAATTAAAATTACTAGTTTTTTTTGTTTTTTGTCTTTTTGAGACGGGGTCTCACTATGCAGTTCAGGCTGGCCTTGAGCTCACTTTGTAACCCAGGCTGGTCTCGAACTCACAACGATCCTCCCACCTCAGCCTCCCGAGTCCCAGGATTACAGGCGTGAGCCACCACGCCCAGCTAAAATTACTAGTTTTAAATGGACAATATTTCAGATATAATTCATGTACCAAATAATTCATTTATTCAGTATTCATGGCAGTACTTTTTTTTTTTTTTTTCATGGCAGTACTTTTAACAGGGTTGTTTAACTATCAGTCACCAAATCAGTTTAGAGGCACTTCATCATTCCCATAGCCACAACTTATAATTGAATTTATTTACAATTTAAAATCATACAGGTTAAAGTTGGAACAAGTTAGTAATTTTAAAGATTAATAAGAGAATTATGAAATCAATTTTTCTTTAAAATACAACATCTTTAAAGTATACTTGTTATACTCAAGTTGTCATTCTAAACATTTTTTTAAATGGGAAAATCATTATTTAGATCTGGATCACAGAAGACAACTTTTCAGGCTATATAAAAAGTTACTACTACTATTTTAATAGTCATAATAACTAAGGAAAAAACAAACTGAGGTTGAATTTTTAAGACTAAGTTACCAGGTTATAACAAACATGTACATTTGTCTTTAATATGAAGTATTGGGTTAATAATCTATGAAAAATAAGATATCAGCTATTATTAAATCAGTATACAGGAATTAGCATCATTTTGTAGGTAGCCTAACCTTGGAGTCTGGCCTTCATTTTGTTCATGGACAGAATAAATGTCGTTTTTTTTTTTTTTTTTGTAATGGCTCTGTTTCTCTTACAGGTGTGTGAACCTGTAAAATTAAATCATCCAAGATGATCTACCATGTTCTAATTGTAGGGATTCTACTTCCTCAAACTTTGGCCCATCCAGGGTTTTTTACTTCAATTGGTAAGTCTTAACTACTTTTTTGTGTTGTTTTTATGTTCAAAACTTTCCATTTTTTAAACTGTTTTTAAATAAAAACAAACTCAGTGCATTTCCAAAGCATTTAAGGTACCTCCTGCTCATCTAAAAGTCCTTTCTCTCTCATGCTATCTCTCTCTCTCTTTTTTTTTTTTTTGGTATCAGAAATCAAACTTAGGATCTTGTGCTTGCCAGGTAGGCATTGTGCCACTAAGCTAAATCCCCAGCCCTCTCTCTCTCATTTTTAACTCAGTTCTTTTTCTTTAAATTATTTTTATTATAAAAATTTGACATATTCTGATTAGAAATGAGAAAATTTAGAAAAGCTTATCAAAGAAAATTACTAATGAGCCTATCTAGCAAGCACTGCATATACTTTAGTTAAGTCCTTTTCAATGCACAAATATACAAATAAACTACATATTATTTTCTAACCTGATTTTTCCATGTAAGAATCTACTGTGAGCATTCTTTTTGCTACATTATAATTTTTTAAAGTCCTTAAAAGAATTATAAAAATAAAGTGTTAAGGCTGGGTGTATGACTCAGTAGTATAGCAGGAAGTCCTGTATTCAATCCCTAGCATTGGGGGAAAATTGATTAAAAAACCAGAAGTTCATAGTTTGATATGTATTCTTCTATATTTTTCTCTCTATTTCATTGTCCTAAGTGAAGTGTTTTCCTTCATTCTCTTGACCATTTGGACCCTTATGGAATTATAGAGATAGAACATAAGTATTAAATATTTATGATACTTGATTTCAGGATGTAAAATAATGAACCCTCTAATACTTTACAAATAATCAAGCAGAGATCATTTGCAGTTTTTTAGTGTGATTTTGTTTATTGAATAAAACTTTAATTAGACTTGAAAACAAAAGGTGTAGAGGGAGGTGGGAAAGAAGAAACACTGGTCCTTGGAAAGTAGTGTTGTTGTAATTCTAATTTATATAAAAAGATAACTTGCCACCATAGTCCAAGTTTGCAAAGTATCATGAAAATTAGACTCAGAGCATATAATTAGAACAGATTTTGGCTTTATTTTGATTTAGCTAATGAAAAAGAAAAAAGAGAATTTGCCTCAACATATGTAATTCAGTTAAATCTTATAGGATGAAGCATTCTAGTCATTCTTGGCTGATTCTAGAATATGTGTGTTGATGAATATAATTATTTAGTAACCTGTTTCCCTCTTCCCCCTTATAGGTCAGATGACTGATTTGATCCATACTGAAAAAGATTTGGTGACTTCTCTGAAAGATTATATTAAAGCAGAAGAGGATAAGTTAGAACAGATAAAAAAGTACGTGATGTGTTTTACTTAGTAAGATTGACATCTGGGTATTTTTGAGAATTCCTGTCTTTCGTTTAATGAGTAGCTAAGTGTTAAGGCTTTTTTAAAAATAAGTTCTCAGTGTGTAGTTCAGGCTGGTTACAAACTCACTACATAGTTCAGGCTAGCTTTGAACTCATGACAACTTCCAGCCTTCGTGCCTCAGCCTCTTGCATGCTATGATTAGAGGTGTGTGTTACTGCACATGGCAAGGCTTTGTTTTAAAATATAGTTTCTAGATATTAAATGTAAAAATGTGATTAGAGAATCAGTTGAGCCCAGAACTTCTAAGTTGGTCTGGGCAGCACAGTGAAAAAATTTTAAAAAACCCAAAAAACTCAACAATGGTTGATTGAAAGGAACATGTCAGTGAACTTGGGTTGGGCTACTTTGAACTTTGTAATAGTTATTTGACCTTAAAGATCTATAGGGAAATGATTTTTTTACACTTGGTAGATGGATCTAATTCTAACTTTTACTAAGGTGGGGAGAATCCATTTACTATAGTCATTTGAGAGAAATAAAACTAAACAAAAAGAAATCTTTTCGTTGTGTTCTGATTCTGCCAAGTTAAATTTTCTCCTTAAGACCTTATTCTTTAAATATCCTTTATAATTTTACTTTAGAACAAAGTATATGTGTAGTTTTAACTCAGAAGCCTCTAATCTAGTCTTTTCTTTCCAAGTACCTTACTAAATTGTGATTTTCCTTAATGAGTATATGTATATTTTTATGTCACACATTTATAGGTGGGCAGAGAAGTTAGATCGGCTAACTAGCACAGCAACAAAGGATCCAGAAGGATTTGTTGGGCATCCTGTAAATGCATTCAAGTTAATGAAACGCCTGAATACTGAGTGGAGTGAGTTGGAGAATCTGGTCCTTAAGGATATGTCAGACGGTAAGTCAGAGGAGACTAACGATCCCTCTTCTCCCCAAAAGGTAAAGCAATATTTCTACTACCTATAAAAATGCCAAAGTTTGTGATAAATTCAGTTCCCAGAATGTCAGGTATTCAGTGTTATAATTATTGCCTGAGTGCATTTGGTTTGACTAGAATTCATTTAGTCAAGATCCTGAATTCTTTCATTATAACAAAATAATAATTTCTACTACTGTTGCTAACACTGGTGATTTTGTTTTGAAGTCTATAGAAGTGAAAGGATTATTTGGCGTATAGTTTTATTTCTGAGGATAATAATTTTTTTTTTAAAGGAAAAAGGTTTATTTCATTTCATCATTTTTACTTTAGGATTACTTTCAGACTTCAAATATTTACGTTTAGCTGTGTGTGGTGGCCCATACTTACAATCTTAACACTCTAGAGAGCGAGGCAAGGAAGATGAAGTATTCAGGGTCAGGCTGGGCTACATAGTGAATTTAGGGATCACCTGGATTACATAGCAAGACCCTGTCTCAGGAACCAAAAAGAAAAAGGAAAAAAAAATTGTGTGTATAAATCTTTATTTTTTGTTAGTTTCAAAAATACTGAGTAAATTGCCAGGCTGGTGGCATATGCCTATAATCTCAGCATTCTGGGAAGCTGAGTCAGGAGGATCATAAATTCCAAGCCTGGGCAATTTAGCAAGATCTTGTATCAGACATTTAAGGCAGAGCTGGGAGCGTAGGTCAGTGGTAAATGCACCTGAGCTTAGTCTCCAGTACTGGAAACAAAAAAACTGTATTTTCAGTCAGTTTTTAAAATACTGGGAATGGTATTTTGGGAATGTAAAGAGAAGTGAGTGTTTGCTGTAGTCTATCTAGCATTTTGGCTTTAGGATTATTTTATTCAATGCAAACACTAAATTAAAAAAAAAAACTGAGGCTATAATTACCAAAAATTAAGTCTTTCTAAGTGGAACAATACAATTGTAGTGTGAGTGTTGAGGTGTTTTAGATAGTATTAATAGCACAGTAAATAGGAGTTGAAGGAAGTAAAGGAATTAGGCTTACTCTGCAGTAGAGGCTGAAATACTTGTTGCATCAATGAAGATGGAAAAGAAACAGGAAGAGCGCTTAGCTGGCTGTGTAAATAAAATATTCCAAGATTGTTTACCATTGTTTGCAGGCAGTATACTATACTAGACCATCTTATCCATAGTTTTTCATTCTGCAGTTTCATTTCCCACAGTTCAAAAATATTAAATAGAAAATTCCAGAAATAAACAAGTTTTAAATTGTGTACCTTTCTGCATAGTGTGATAAAATCTGGAGCTTTCCTGCCTGCCATGTGAAGCATCCCTTTGCCCAGCATAATAATGCTGTGTATACATAACCTGTCTTCAATTACTTAGTAGCCTTTCATCTATCAGGTTATTTTCACAGTATTTTGTGTGTAAGTAGCCCTTATTTTAATGGCTCCAAATTCTAGAGTAATGATGATGGCAATTTGGATGAGCCAAAGATAAACCATAAAGTGTTTCTTTTAAATGAAAAAATTAAATTTCTCAATAAGAAATAAAGAAGAAAAAAACCCTTGTGTGCTGAAGTTGAAAAAATTGTATGCTAATGTTGCTAAGATCTATGGTAAGAATGAATCTTTTGTCTGTGAAATTGTGAAGGAAATAAAAATTGATGGCAGTTTTCTATGGTACTTCAGACTACAAATATTATAGTCATAATGTGTGTTTAGTGCTTACATAAGATAGGCATTAAATTTGCATGTGTATGTTTAAGAAAAACATCTGGGGTTCAATAGTAATCATGATTTTGGCAACCACTTGGGATGTATCCTCTGTGAGGAAGTGGCGGGCTCCTATGTTATGCATAAGACAGGGAACCTTGAAAAGTAATGGTGAGTACTTGTGAATACTTATTCACTATGAGAAGGAGATGGCCTGTGATTATTTCCTCTTCTGTATAAATACTATACCCTGAGAAAATTTTTAGAAGTATAACCTCTCCCCGCTAATTCTCCCTTCCTGTTCCATCCTCCCCATTTCTGCGTCTCCTTCCCTTCCCCTTTCCCTCTCTTTTCTCTCTGTACACATACACATTTCATTCATTCATTCATTCATTCACTGTTTCATTCTAAAATAATGACCTGTACAGTTATTTCATATGAACCTTGAGATTTTGGTGTTTTGATCTGTGGTATTCATCTTATACTTATCTATCTATCTATCTGTCTGTCTGTCTGTCTATCTAATTTTCTATTTTTATTAGAGAGGAGTGAAATAACTTAGATTTTTGTTTTCAAGCATAAGAACCATTATAGTCTTGTATAAAGCTTGCTTGTAAAGTTCATGTGGAAATTTTTACTGAGAGCTGATCTTAAAAATATGTTTCATAGGAATTTTAATTCTTTTCCAGCTCATTTCTTTTGTACATTTCCATTAAAGTAAAAACGCTTGATTATTTGCTGGTCAAAGTACAAATAGTTCACCAAAAGTTAACGAGAGAATAGCCAAGTGTTGTGGTACACGCCTGTTATCCCAGCACTTCGGGGGCTGAGGCAGGAAGTTGTTGGAAGTTTGAGACCAGCCTAGGCTACAAAGTGAGCTTAAGGCCAGCCTGCACTGCATAGTAAGACCCTGTCTCAAAAAGATCAATTAAAAAAAAAAAAAATCTCAAACCTAATTTTTATTTACACTGGTGACATTTACATTACTAACACTTTAGTCATTTTTTTTGATACTGAGAATCGAACTCAGGACCAGTAGCAAGTGCTGTGCCACTGAGCTATATCCCCTAGCCTTGTTTGATTTTCTTAAGGAGTTCTTTAGCATCCATGCTTTTAGACATTATATAGTTACCAGCAACACATTAGTGCAATGTTTGCTACATTTTATATCTCCCTTAAATTAACATGAGGTTTATAGCAAATCTTGACTAATGAACACTGTGTTTCCTAGTTACACATACTAACTTGCTGTTAACACCTTTTTCCTCTCTGAAGAATTTCATCAAAATGTATGTATTTACATATTTATGTAATGTGTAGTATATGCAAGAAGAAAAAGAGAACCTTAAAAAGCACAAGTTTTATTTAGCATCTGTTATCTGCAAGTATAATTGGTTGCTAATGAATATCATTTAAAAATCCTGTATGTTCATCTAAGTCAATGCACTGTTTTGTTTCTTGTTATGTTGTATAAAACTGAGTTATTATGTTAGTTGATCTTTACCTACTAATATAATTTATGCAATGACCTCAGATTACTTAAAATTAGAAAACAATTGGGGAAATTGAACAAGTTAGGTATATGTTACACGCAGTCAATATATTTAATTTTTTCTTGATTAACTTGTAGAACTTTGATAGTATAGCTGAAAATGGTAAGATTTTGAAAAATTCTTACAAAGATTCTGTATTGGGTAGAAGTGTGTGAGGTTCTACAGTCCATTTTTATCCTGTTTTTTTTCTTTCTTTTTTTTTTCCTGCTTAAGGGTTTATCTCTAACCTGACCATTCAGAGACAATACTTCCCTAATGATGAAGATCAGGTTGGGGCAGCCAAAGCTTTGTTGCGTCTCCAGGACACCTACAATCTGGACACAGATACCATCTCAAAGGGTAATCTTCCAGGTAAGGTAATATTTTCATTCCTGAAATGCCTATTCAGTCCAGTAGAACAATGTCAAAAAAGACTTATTGTAAGAGTTTAAAGCTATAGGGTTTTTTTTCCGTAGCTTTTGGATGTGAAAGAACTTAATAGTGATAGATATGCTTCTCCCCGGTTACTGTGAAAACTTATAAAGGGTTAATTTAAATAGCAATTCTTGGGGCTGGAGGTTTAGCTCAGCGGCATAAGCACCTGCCTTGCAAGCACGCCGTCGTGAGTTCGATCCCCGGTACTGATAAAAATGAAAAAGACAAAAAAAGAATAAATAAATAGCAATTCTTAGTGTATGAGTAAAAGAAACAACCATTTTTCCAGATTTTTTAAAAGAATATCTAATATTGCTTATCTATAAATCCATAAGAAAATTGATAGCATTAGTGTGTTCAGTAATTAAAAGCTAAAATCTACTGGGATATGCCCAGTTGTTTAAAATATTCTATAGGATGGAACATTCTGCTTTCTATTTCTGGCAAAGCTGCTCTTTTTAAAAGTTAGATCTGATTTCATGATAATTTACATCTTACACTACTGTGAATCTATGGTTTACTACCATTAATAAATAATCTCTTGTCACTGTTAAGTGGAAAAGTAAAGTATATTTCCTCTGTGTTCATACTGAAATTGGTTTTTCTCAGTAAGAAGAAGATTGGTGTAAGTTGTTTATCAGAATGTTTTCCTTGTTCTTTTCCCTTTATTTCAGGAGGTATCAAGTGATAAAACTAAACATAAAATATTAAGTGAAATTTTTGTTCAAATAGAATAATTGCATTAATTTGGACTTCTAAAAATGTACAGACTTGCAGATACTTATTTTTCTGTTTGTTTTTTTTTTTTTTTTTTTCGTTTTTATCAGTACCGGCGATCGACTATTTTTCTGTTTCTAATAATGCTATTCATTGTGACACTTGATGAGATTATAACTTTTTTTCTCATGTGTGTGATGCCCAGGGAGAACTATACCACTGAGCTACACCCACCTGATAATCTTTTTGTTTTGGAGATTGGGTTGGGTCCCAGGGACAGAACCAAGAGAGGGGCTGTTGCAAATGTTTAAATAAAAGATGATATCTAGTGCATTTGGAGAGAAGTGCATAGATTATCAATGGGGAAGCAGATGGTAGAATCTGATGATGGACTTGGGCTTGACACAAGAAGCAGGTTTTCTGAAGGAGGGCATTATTAATTTCATTTAATTTTCTATATTTAGTTCAATACTTTATCTTCCCACTTGAATATTGAATATTATTTAACTAACCTGTTTTGCTGTGTTTAGCCTTAGGAAAATCACTGGGTCCTCTGAGTACCGAATCTTTTAGAGATCAGTTGGTAAGACTTTCATATAGGGTGGCTGAAAGTAAAATATTTGAAGAATATGTAGACTTATTTTTCATTATAGAATACTAATCTTTTCTCACTTTTTCATCTCCACATTGACTTCTTCTCTGGATTTTTATATGCAGTATTTTTGTACAGTATTTCAATATATTATGTTCATTTATTTTGATACTCATAATGCCCCATTTTAGCCAGAGACAATCTCTTTAGATTAATTATCATTTTTATCTTTTTGAAATGATTATATTATTATTACTTTAATTTTTTTGGTACCAGGATTGAACTCAGAACCTTGCTCTTACCAGGCAGTTGCTATGCTTTTGAGCTATGTCCCCTGCCCATATTACTCTTGATAGCAAGGAATTTATTTCTTTTGCTGCACAGTTTTGCACAAAGCAAAAGAAGGTTGTTTTTTTTTTTTTTTTTAATCAGTACTGGGGATTGAACTCACAACTGCATGCTTGCAAGGCAGGCACTTATGCTGCTGAGCTAAATCCCCAACTCCAAAAGAAGTTTTTAAATAAACTTCTATCACAGAGCAGGAATCAGGCATTTATCTAATAATGAGCCTTGATTTTTATTGTTGCTGTACTGGAGATTGAATCAGGCCCTTCTTTATTTTTTGATACAAGAGTTTTGCTAAGTTGCCCAAAACAGGCTCTCAGACTTGTGGTCCTCCAATCTCAGTCTGAGAGTATTGGGATTATAGGTGTGTGCCATCCTACCTGGCTGAGCCTTGATTTGTTTTAACAGTGAATGGTATTTAAAAAGCAGAGTCTAGCTCCTGGTAGGTTGTAGTTGAGTTTGTAATTTATTCCAGGTCTTTTAAATGAACAGAGGAAGAAAAAATATATACATTTGTATACGTACACTTATGATTACTAGAAAGATTGTACTACTAATTCTGTTAGTTCTTGGAACAAAATAGTTAGCATCCATAGGAATAGATCAATTTTGCATGACTGTATCTGGTAATTCGAGTAAGACTTTCCAAGATAACTATGCAAAACAACAAAATTATGTTCCTACCACCTTGTTTTGAAAGCCTACATTGTTATTGTTTTGGGCTTTGTTATTGTTATTTATTTGACTCTTCTTATTTTTCTTACATTTTGTTTTGTTTTTCCCTCTAGTATAGAAAGGATAGATGTGCATGTATAGGCTTATATATATAAACTCCTAAAGAGTTTACCAGAATTGATTTTAGTATGTATGATGATGTGAACAACTACATTGAAGAAAACATCATAACCATTGCTGATTTCCTATCATTTTGAAGTCTAATAATGCTTTTATTCTTGGTTTTGTTTGATTTTAGTCTGTTTTCAGTTATTTGATTTCAGTATATGTGAAGGTATGGATGGCTATTTTGAAGCGAACAAGAGACATTATGGTAGCCACTGTTGATTTCCTCTTGTCTTGTTTTGAAGTCCTGTGTTGAGTTGTTTTACTGTGATGTTTTGTTTTGCTTTATTCTTTTTAAAATAAAAAAAATGAACAGAGGTAGGAAACATGAGTTCATGTTCGTTCCAATTGAAATTGAAGATTACAGACAGAGCTTATATTGATACCTCTTTTATGTTGAAAATCCTTGTTCCTAATGATATTAATTCTTTGTGTTACAAATCCTAGTTCCTAATGATATTATTTGTATTATCTATAATATGTCTAAAATAATAGTACCTTCATTATTAATAGCATTTACTACTGAATGCAGTACTTTTTAATCCTTAGTGTATATCACCCCAGAATGATTAGTCAAAATATTGTCTCAAAGACTTCGGAAATAATGCATTTCTCTGCACAGGTATGCCTTCAACATATTCTATAGTTGAGTTTAATTATTTCCATGTTTCTTCATTTTTAGATATTTTTTCTTTAGATGTTCTTTTTTCTTTAGATGTTTTTGTCTTTACATAAAATTGTATTCTTACATCATCTAGCCTAGCCTGTGTACATTTACAGAATTTTCACTTTCATTCCTGTACTTCTTAGTCTATGACCTTATTCTTGTATGCAACCATTTTACTAGTTTTTCTATTTCCATAGTTTCTTTTTTAAAAAGAAGTCAATGTATATTATATGTACTTGTATTTCCTGTGGACATTTATGCAGAAGGTACCATAATGTGAAAATTACTAACTTTGGTGTTTTATTTTAATATTGCCTAGGTATCATTTCATATAGTACATAGGAATGTTCATTTATTTTTATAGCTGCATGTTACTGTGTATTGTGGGGGTTTTATTGTTTATTTAACCATGTCCCTAAATAATAAGCATCTGGTTTATTTGAAGTCTTTTTCTGCTAAAAAAAAAAAAATGCTGCTAATAACCTTAGGCATATTTATTTTGTATTTTTGCTAACTGACCTTTATAGATATTTTTCTTTTTCCTTTTTATTGGTACCAGGATCGAACTCATGACTGCCTGCTTGCAAGGCAGGCGCTTATGCCACTGAGCTAAATCCCCAGCCCCTTACAGATATTTTTCTAAACATGTTCTCACTGGTTCAAAGAGTGAATAAATAGGTAATTTTGCTAATCTTGTCCTGGTACCCTCCATAAGGCTTATATTATTTTGCATTTCTGCCAGCAGGATGTGAATACTGATTTCCCCTATAGCATAAGAAAAAATATGTCAACTTTGAGATTTTTGTTTTTTGGTTTTTTGAGGCAAGGTCTCACTTTATAGTCCTGGCTGGCCTTGAACTCACTGTCTCAGCCTCATGAGTGCTGGGATTATAGGTGTGCACCACCATACCCAATTTGAGATTTTTGCTAATCTTTGTAGCTTAATTTAGATTGGCATATATATCTTACGTATTATATATATGTATATATAAATATTTAGATAGATAAACTATATCTATATATATTTTATCATTCTTATACTTCAAACTTTACATTTAGAATTTTCTCCTTGAAATACATCCTTAAAATGTCTTTATGTGTACTTTGTGTGGGATTCTTCGTTCTTCCTGAATCTAAAGTTCTATAGGTTTTAATTCTGGAAGACTTTAAATAGTGTCTGTCTCATCTTCTATTTTTCTGAAATTCTAAATTTATTTTCTTCTTCTTGCCTTTGAAACTAGTATTTCATATTCTTCCCTGCTGCATTCTGGGCAGCTTATTATAGATTCAGTCTCTTTTTAGTTATGTCTGATCTACTTTTAAACCTGTCTAGTAAGTTTTTAATAGCACTGAATATGAAGGTTAAATATCCTTTATCTGAAATAAATGACTACAAATCAAGATCAAAAAAGAGTGCTTTGGAAAAAGAGTGCTTTGGATTTTTTATTCTTTTCAGATTTTGGAATATTTGCATGTGTATAATGAGATATCATGGGAATGAGTTCCAGTGTAAAGTCTAAATATTTCAGCACTCAGGAGGCTGAGGCAGGAGGATCACAGTGGTTTCTAGGCTAACCTGGGCTACAAAATGAGTTTGAGGCCAGCCTTAACTGCATAGTATAACCCTGTCTCCAGAAGACAAAAAATAAAAAAATAAGCTCTAACTATGACATTTATGTTTCATATATATCATTACATTCAGCTTTAAAGGTAAATTTTTACCATATTTTTAGTACAATTGCACTTTGTGACCTCTTGCATAAGGGAAAGTATAGAATTTTTCACTTGTTGCACTGTGCCAGGCCTAAAAAGCTTTGGATGTTGGAGCATTTCACATTTTAAATTGGAGATGCTCAACCTGTACTTAGAATTTTCTCTAAGTGTCTCCTTCCACCTTTTAGTCAGCTCTGCTGGGTACTTTACAGTACATTATGTTAGTCAGCTTTACATTACTATAATGACATACCTGAATCAATTAAAGAGAAAAGGTTTATTATGACTCATGGTTTTAGAAGTTACAGTATAAGATTAGGTGAATACACAGCTTTGGGTTTCTGGTGAGGGTGCCAAATGGCAATAACAAGGAGCACATGGCAAAGCAAATTGCCTACCTGATAGCAAGAAGTGAAGAGGAAGAGGAGGGGGCTGACTCCCACAGTCCCCTGCAGGGCTCACTCACAGTGAATAAGTAAGGACTTCCCATTAATCCCCACCTCCTAGATGTTCCACCACCTCCCAATTAGTGACACTGTGTGGACCAAGCCTTTGACATTGGACCTTTGGAGAGCAGTTAACATCCAAATTGTAGCAAGTGTCTTTATCGTTTACAGTTTTTGTTTTTGTATTTCTTTAAGTATTGTAATCCAGTATTTTGTATTCTTAATCTATTAACTTAAGTATCTGAAGATTTAAGCGGATATCTAGTACTGATTTTGATAACTTCTGCTAAGGTTGCTCATAGTAGTTTATCTTGTCACATACTTTGCAGTTTGGGATTGTGTATGCGGATTCAGCAGATGTCATCTGAGGAAATATTGCAAAGTTTGGGGAAAAGGCACATTTTTCAGAGTATAAATGTTGTTTATGTTAGATGATCACTTTAGTTAATTTCTTGACTTTAGTATCCCAGACCATTGGGACAATGTAAATTTGAAATTGAAACCTCTCTGAGGACATGCCCATGGAACTAACTCAGGAATATAAACTTTTCTGTAGTTTCTCTTTGTCAGCTGGCCGTTTTTTAAAAGCTTATTATCTCATTGAGGGTGTAATTTTTTCCAAGGTTTTACTTTATATTGAGTTCTCAAGACCAGTTGTCACTTGGAGTAGTCTGGAAGCTTTCATCCCTTATTCTTTTCTGGTTATTAAAAATCCAACCTTCAGGTTTCTAATTCTGGTGACTGCCTCCAGACAGTCACCAGACAGTTTTTATGAACTTGGCTGTAATATAAATGAATAATTGTTTTATTAATCTTGCATTGCTAGGTGTTATCTATCAGTTACTTTTTTCTCACATCTGATCCAGAAATAATTCTCTTGTTATTTAGTATCACACAACTTGAAAACAAAATGAAATACTCAAGCCTTTAAAATCTCTGTAACTCAACTGATTCCTGTAAACATGAGTGGTAGAGTTCCAACCCAGAATGTATTATATAGTTGTTACTGTCTTGTGGACATCATTCAGAGTTATGCTTTTTAAAATGTTTCTATAATTCCCTATTCGTCTTTGTTATCAAACTAATTGTATATTTTGAAAAATTAAAAAGGTTTGAAAATGTAGAAAGCTAGTAACACATCCAGCAAAGTAACAGTTTAACATTTTGACATATTTCTGACTAGATTGTTCTGGCTTTTCTGTATGACATTTAAGATGATCTTATTGTAAGATATTCCATTATGTTGACATAGTACTGATACATTTCTGTGCTTTTAGCTTATTACAGTATTAGCTGCTATATTTGGTTCATCTGCAAAAACTTTATGAGAATGTCCTCTCAAATCCCTAATACGATTTTTTTTTTTTCCAGTATTAGGAATTGAACCCAAGGTCTTACACTTGCCAGGCAGGTGCTTATGCTGCTGAGCTATATCCCTGGCAACCCTAGTGCTAATTCTTCTTTTTTTTTTCTTTCTCATTTTTATCGGTACCAGGGATCAAACTCACGACTGCCTGCTTGCAAGGCAGGTACTTATGCCGCTGAGCTAAATCCCCAGCCCCCTCTAGTGCTAATTCTTAAAGAAATAATTGAAAAATAGTAGTATCGAGTTTTGAGTATGCGGTTATTCTTGTCTCATATTGCTGAAATTTTTAAAAGCAAAGTTACCTATTGACATTGCTACCCTCTCTCAGTACATTTTCCCTTTTCCTCAAAATGTTAAGTGTAGAATTCCCATAGGACACAGCAATTTTACTTTTCTCTCACTCTTGTGTGTGTGTGTGTGTGTGTGTGTGTGTGTATATATATATATACTTCTGAGAATAAAATCATATCCACACAAAAACATCTATACAAATGTTCACGGTGGCATCATTCATAAAAGCCGAAAAAGAAAGCAATGTGGACGTCCATCAGCTAACAGAGAGTTGTAATCTGTCCATTGAGTGAACTATTGTTCAATAATGAAATGTATTCTATAACATTGATGAGCCTTGGTAATATTATACTGAGATAAATAGATCAGTCACAGAAAGACCACATACTGTATGATTCCATTTTTGTGAAATGTCAAAAAACAGGTGCTGTAAATTTTTAGAGAAAGAAAGTATATCAGTGGTTGTCTAGGGCTGGGGTTGGGGAGGTGATAGGTAGTAACTGCTGTTGTTAAGATTTCTTTTTGAGGTGATGAAAATGTTTTAAAGTTGGATTGTGGTATTTGTCGCATACATCTATAAATCTGCTAAGAACTAATATATATACGAGGAATTGAACTCATGACCTTGTGCTTGCCAAGCAAGCGCTGTGCTGCTGAGCTATATCCCTCACTCAGGAACTCATACGTTTAAATGTATTACTGGTGACCTTTAAATGGGTGCATGAACTCTGGTATTCAAATTTTATGTCATTATTGTAGTTTATAAAGAAAGAAAGGAAAGCTTCCCTTTCTTCCTGTACATTCATCTCTTGCCTAGATTTTTGGCTAGAAGTAAGACAGATATATCTCCTATGGTGATCTGCTGTGTTAGAGAATAGCACATTTCAGTGTAACCGGTGTTTCATTTTGGTACAGTGTCTGCTAATCTAAACCATGGGATCTTCAGGTGCCATGTCACCCAATACCGGCTGTGTGATTCTTGGTCATGCTACCTTACCTTGCAGATTGATTGTTATCGAGTTCAAGTAAAAGTAATTGCTTCTGCATGTTTGCCAGAAATCAAATGTCTGTTATGTGGACAAATGTCTGTTATGTTATCAAATGTCTGTTTTGGGACTTTATATTGGTACTTTGGTGGTTTGTCTATCTTAATATCAATGCCGTTTTGTCATGATTGGTGTAACTTCATGATAAGTCATGGGATTGAGGAAGGTTGGAGCTCTTAATTTTATTCCTTGATCAAACCTGTTTAGATTATACTGTCTTTTTTATTTTTACAGAACTCTAAGAATCAAAATGTTAATCTGTATGAAAGATGATATTGACAGTTTGTTGAGGGATTGTGTTTTTGTTTTTATTCTATTACTTTTAATAAAAAATTATTTCATTAAAAAAAGTGAAATAGCACTTCAAAAGCTGTATAGACCTAAGTAAATAAATAGTAGTATGAAAATCCTGAAAGATCTCTGCATTTTCTTTTCATAGGAGTAAAACACAAATCTTTCCTAACGGCTGAGGACTGCTTTGAGTTGGGCAAAGTGGCCTACACAGAAGCAGACTATTACCACACTGAACTGTGGATGGGACAAGCCCTCAGGCAGCTGGACGAGGGTGAGGTGGCCACTGTGGACAAGGTCTCTGTGCTAGATTATCTGAGTTATGCTGTATACCAGCAAGGAGACCTCGATAAGGCCCTTCTGCTCACAAAAAAGCTTCTTGAACTAGGTATGTTGTCTGGCTTTAATTTAAGGTATAATTGTAATGGGGATATATATTAGCTTTGTGTTTATCTGTCCATCCATCCATCTACCTTCAGTATTTTTTATTTGTTAGAAATGAAGAGCTTTATCAGTCCAGACTTATTTTATCTTCTCACTGATTATTCTCAAAGTAAATGGCAACTGATTTCACTCACATGGTTAGTACTGCCATAGTGGCTATATTCCTTCACTCTGTATTCTGGAATCTAACCTAGCTAACTCATTCAGTCAAAAATGTTTCTAAATTAATTGTTAAAGCACTTTCTTCTGAAGATTATTATTGGTGTATTGCGTTTTATATTCAGATGTTAGAAAATGTATCTCGTGAGAATTTTACCACTCTTGCTTTGAACAGAAATGTAGAATTTCTCCAGGTGTGATCCAGGTACCATATACATTAGAATTACTTAAATACTGGTTACAAGTGAAAATTCCTTTACTTTTTCTAAATCATAATCTTTGGAGATGGAGACAAGAATTTATACAATAATAAGTTCAGCTGGCCTTTGCTCTATAATGAAGTTTTAAAATTTTAAAAATTATTTTATGAACAGAATATGCATTATGTCAGAAGAATGAAGCAACTCAAAAGGATTGATCAGCAGACCTGCAAGTGAACTGCTGATAAGTGGTTTATTTTCGAGTAGGGTGAATTGATAAATTAAAAGATATTAGTTCCAATAACTTTTTTCTTTTAGTATTTGACAATGACTTTTCTTCCTGCTTGATTTATATATATATCTTTTCTTCCTGATTGAAAACATACTTCATATGCATTGTAGGAAACTTTTTAAAACAAAAAGATACAGAATAATCATCCATCCAGTAGCCAATTACTGAAAGACAAATTATTTTGTTGTTGTATGTATTCTTCTTCCCTGTACACAATTTTTCCTTTTACAAAATTAAGTTTTTATTGTATATCACATTCCATATTGTGAACAGTATCTGAAGGACAAGAAATACTTTAAACTAGTTACATTTTCCAAATACTTCAATTAATGTCACAAGTGAAGTCTCTAGTACTGTTCTGCCTTTTTAATTTTTATCTCTGTGTGGTTGCTTGGATATTTCTTTTCTTTTGTTTCTCAGCTGGGTGGTGTGGCAAAAATTAATTCTGAATAAGTAGATTAATGGCTTACTTGAAAATTACATCTTTAGTTACTTCTTTCTTTCTTAGAAATTTGGAGCTGAAATGCACTTAAATGTGTTCTGCATTTATAAGGTATCTGTGCTAAAGTTCGCCTATGAAGTACATGTGCTTTGTTTTTACAACGATGATTAATTTTTAATCTTAGAAAAATAGTTTCCCATTGCCTAAAAGAAGTAGAATAAGTAAGATTTTAAGATTCATTTTACATCAAATTGAATGTAGTTCCTCTGGTTGTAAATTTCCTCTGGTAGTAAATTTTCAGAGTAGAAATAATAATTGCAACCTTGAAATAAAAGGCTGTTTCCATCTTAGAACTGTTTTTACATAGGGTTACCATAAGTTCTGACTTACTTGGGATGGTACTAGTTTACATACATTTTTGATATAATAATTTGTCTTAGTGGCCCTTTTACTCTTAAAAGGATCCTGGTTTGAAAGACAAATATGGTCCCCTATATTTGTACTCAGAGGTTGAATAATTGTCTTTCTTTTTCCCTTTTGAAGGGTAAAATTTTTATTTCTGAGGAATTTTTTACCTCACATTTTTCAAAGAGAGTCATGAAAGAAGGCAAAAATGTTGTCTTCCCCCGTCCTAAAAATAAATAAAGGCAAACGTTTTATTTTTAAATCATTACACTTACAAGTTTAGCACCAGCATCCAAAATGAACAAAAAAGGAAAAAAAAGCATTTACTGTATAACAATGTCATACTTCTTTGGTTGGGGTTCTTCCAATGTTGTATTATTATTTCTTCTTTCAATTATCAAAGCAGTAAAAACCAAGAAAAAAATATAAACCTAGTGGTAGCTGAAACAGAGAGGATGCTTTCTTGTATCTTTTACATCCATTCATTCCTGGGCTCATAGCTGGCTGGAAATATTTGCTGACATCTTCTGTTGCAGTTGTTAGTTTCTCAAAAAAAAATAGCAGTAAACTTTCTAATGCCCAAATCTTAGTCTTCCACTTTATTGCTCAGATGTTTCTTTGGTGTTGGTAAGGTTGTGGGTGTACTTTTTGCTTTATTTTTGAATGGTCATTAATTCTTTAGGTCATCCTGCTCCTCTGCTCAGCAGCCGAAGCAGGGTTCCTAGCTGGTGCTTCACTTGCCTTGGTCTCTTTGCCATCTTGGGAAAGAGCACTAGAAGGATGGGTGTGACGCATATAATTGTAGGGATACTGTTAACCATGGCGAGCAACTGGCTACTTTGGACCATTGGCTGCTTGTTGGTTCTCTTTGTCCAAGGCTTGAACAATTGTAAACTTATTCATGGATACACTTTATTTCTCTTCAAATAGATCCTGAGCATCAGAGAGCTAATGGTAACTTAAAATATTTTGAGTACATAATGGCTAAAGAAAAAGATGACAATAAGTCTACTTCAGGTGACCAATCTGATCAGAAAAGCACACTGAGGAAAAAAGGGATTGCTGTGGATTACCTGCCCGAGAGACAGAAGTACGAAATGCTGTGCCGTGGGGAGGGTATCAAAATGGTAAAGTGGAAAAGTCACCTGTGTGTGTGTGCATGAATGTGTATGTGTGTGTTTCGTACATAGTTATAGAATCAGATTTCTTTTGTATTTAAATCTATGTGGTAAAAATCATGATTCCATTAAATATTACAGTATGCCATATTAGCTTGGTGTCAGTGTCACAGTCAGTACGCTGCAGTTAATAAAATAGTTTTAATATCAAGTTTGTGAATCATGTACCATTTTTGGTGCATGTATTTTTGGTAATACTACCCTGTTCACAGATCAAAAGAGGGTTCTTTTCTAGGGTGAAAGATCAAGTGAGTTTAAGGAATTGATAATTCTTTTCATATTTAATCCCAAAGGGAATTTAGTAGTCCTAGGTAGAAATAATATTCTATTGGTAATTGATTTTATGATCTACAAAGACTCATCTGTACAGTAATCTCTCATGATCTTTCTCCTATTCAGTCTTAAAAAAGATTTTTTAGTGAAATGTTTAAGAAATTCTCAGAATATAAATGTTCAACAGATTTTAACTTTCACATTTTTTTTTTTTTGGTTCTGGGAATAGAACTTAGCCAGTTGCTGTGGCACTAAGCTATATTGCTTCATTTTTTCCATTTCCTTCTTTCTTTTTTTTCTTTTTTCTTTCTTTCTTTCTTTTTTTTTTAGACAGAGTCTCATTATGTATCCAGGCTGGCCTTAAACTCATTGTGTAGCCCAGGTTGGCGTTGAACTCACAGTGATCCTCCTGCCTCTGCCTCCTGAGTGCTGAGATTACAGGCATGTACTACCACATCACTAGTTATAATTCAAAATTCCACCCCTTTTGGAAATATCAGTAGATCTTAAATTGAAACTAAAAATGTTCCAAATCTACGGAAAATTTGTTAAACAAAGTTGCTCACAGGCTTTTGGTTTAGCTTTGTGGCTTCTCAGAGTCTTTTTATGATAATGTGCATTATCGTGGATAGATACATAACAAAAAAAGTCTTTATTTGTGTTTTTGCAGTACTGAGGATCACATCAAGGCTTTTTACATGCTAGGCAGATGCTCAACTGCTGAGCTGTATCTTCAACCCACGAAACCTTTAAAGGACTATGATGTGATACTAGTGTCCAAACAAATTTTTCTTCATTGCCAGCAAACTCCAGCTGCACTTTGTAGTTTGTGATAGTTTGCTTGTTAATAGCCTGACCACTAATAACAAATCCACTTTTATGTTTGTTGATACTTTTGATAATTAGGTTCATAGACTCAGCAGGACATGCTTGCTTTTGTCTTGAGAATTAATGATTAAATTCAAGGGTAATAAAACTTTATTAGACTCATTAAACTTTCTTTTTCATTTCTAAATACTTAATGTGTGCCACTCAGCTTTGCATCACTGTGACAAAATAACTGACATAAACAATTTAAAAGGAGGAAAGATTTATTTTGATTCACACTTTTAGAGGTCTCAGTGCATGGTGGTTTTCCTTCCACTGCTCTGAGTCTACAATGAGGCAGAGCACCAAGGCAAGGATGGGAAGCAGCAGGTGGGAGCAGAGCTATGTACCTTGTGAGAAACACAAGGGCAGAGATCCCAGAATCTCCTTCAAGGGCAGGCCCTGTGGCCTTCTATGAGGCTCTTCCACAAATCTCAATAGCACACAGACTGGCGACCACGCCTGTAATGCACAAACCTTTGCAGTGACATTCAAAGACTAAACTAGTGGTATATCTTTTAAGGGTAAGGACTTGAGCAGGGGATAATGGCACAAGCCTGTAATCGCAGCACCCGGGAGACTGAGGCAGGAGGACAGCCTTAAGTTTGAGTTCAAAAGGACTACATAGTGGGTTCAAGGCCAACCTGAACTCAAAAAACATAAATAAATGAATAAGTAAATGATTGACTGACTCAAAATAATTACAAGGGCATTATCATACCCAAAAAAATACACAGTAGTTCATACTATTAAATACTAGTTACTGTCCAAATTTCCAGCAGTAAACAGATTCTTAAAAATTGCTTTTAACAACTCTTAAAGAAAGCAAAATAGAGCTATAAGAACAAAACAGGATGCTGTTAGTTTATCAATTCATTGTGCCACATGTCAGCTCTGCCCACAATCAGAGGACATTTTGTCTGTTCAAATGGTTCACTTCATTTCATCACTGTTTAAAAGACTTATTTGTTATAGAGCCTTGGGGTTGGTTCCAGGTAAAGTGTATGAAGAATAAATGTGAATGAATCTATTTGTTTTATTGTATTAATAATTAAACTAATTATATTCCTGCTTTGTATATGACATAGTAATTTAATCAAGGGAAGAATACCAGGGTTGGTGATGGAGTTCAGTGGTAGAATTCTCACCAAGCAGGTACAAAGCTACAGGTTTGTTCTCAGTGCCATGGAGGGAGTGTGTGGCAAAAAGAATCAGCTGTGAACTAACACATTTATGTAACAGATGATTGAAGGGAACATTTATTTGCTTCGTTCACTGCTCTACAGTAGTTTTATATACCCCCTATTAAAGTCACTTGGCTTCCTTAATAACATTTCGATTTCATCTTTGCTGTTAATCTTTCTTTCTTTTTTTGCCACAAGCATTTAACTGTAAGATATATTAGGTAAACCTAGTTTTGGTGTTTTGTTTATTCCCAGTTAGAAACTTTCACTTTTCTTGGTACTTCCAGTTATTTTTTGAAGTTTGGAATGCTGGGCATTCGTTTCATATTTCCTCAGACACCTTATTGTTTCTTTCATGTTTCCTGATGATTGAAGGCTTAAAAGAGAAACCTTACCTTTTTTCTCCTCTGTCTCTCCCCCAGAAAATAATCATTAATAAAGTGTTTTAAATCCTGGAAACTCTGTTTGCATATTTGCAGAGTACTGCCAATTGTTTATTCTTCCAGGAATACTCCCTGTCAATGCAAACGTAATTATTGTTTTATGTCTGCATAGGAATAGGTATTAAAAATATTAGTCTTAGCCCAGTGTGATAATGCACACCTCTAATCCCAGAACTCTGGAAGGCTAAAGCAAAAAGATCCTAAGTTTTGACCCCATCCTGCACAACTTAGCAGGACCCTGTATCAAAATGGAAAAACAAAAACCCAAAATGGGCTGGAACTGCCCTAAACAAAGGTCGACTGGTTTAGTCCCCCATATCACAAATACACACATGTGTGTGTATATATATGTATTATGTCTATATTGTACATGTGTATATATATGTGTACATGTGTATATAATTAACATATATATCATTTTCTTTATGTTTAGACTCCTCGAAGACAAAAAAAACTGTTTTGCCGCTACCATGATGGGAACCGGAATCCTAAATTTATTCTGGCTCCAGCCAAACAGGAGGATGAGTGGGACAAGCCTCGTATTATTCGCTTCCATGATATTATTTCTGATGCAGAAATTGAAATTGTCAAAGATTTAGCAAAACCAAGGGTGAGTTATTTTTTTCCCCTCAACTTCCTGTACCTTTGTATCAGCTATCCATCTGTAAGATAACAGAGAAGACAACCAATATGGCACTAACTCCCTGGATAGTTTTAGGTACTGTTATTGCAACATAATAGACTTGTTAATTACATTTTATACACACTAGTTTGTTTTTAGTTTGCTGTTGCCACTAAATAGCATATCCTAAAACTATATATAAAACATGAATTATGAAAATTATAGATGAGATTTTTATTTACACTTCACAAAAGTTTGTTTTTCATTGTCTTACTCAACTTTTCTATATATTTTGTCACCTTAATCTCAGAGGCCATGCTAAGCTCAACTTTTTCTTTTTCTTTTTTTTCTTTTTGTGGTGCTGGAGATTGATGCAGGGCCTTTAATGTGTTAGACAAGTACTATGCTTGAGCTACATCCCTATCAACTTTTTTGTATCTTCTATATTTTTATCTGAAAGAATAGGTGAAGTATTTTATTCCTTCTTGGGCACATTAATATGGTAATAGAAAAGTATAGTTGGGTTCAAGCATCATTTTAATCTTCAAATGATGATATTGTAGTTTTCTGACTTCAACCTTTGTCATTTATCTTATCAAGAAAGATAGTCTAGGAGGCTGGGGATTTAGCTCAGTGGCATAAGCGCCTGCCTTGCAAGCGCGTGGTTGTGAGTTCGATCCCTGTTAATTACATTTTATACACACTAGTTTGTTTTTAGGGAAAGAGCCTGGTACCAGTAAAAAAATAAAACTCTAGTTTGTTTTTAGGGAAAGAGCCGGGTACCAGTAAAAAAAACAAGAAAGTCTAATGTGGTTAAGCTCAGTCCTATAAATTCAGTCCGTGGCACAGACATTCTTTTGTGAGAGAATGTGGGAAAGGCAACTCTTTCTGGTCTTGCCTTTTGCTCCATCATTTTGCTTTTAACACTTCATCTTATTGACAGTAAAATAAAAACCTCTGTCACTTTCATTAAGAGATTTTTAAATCAGTGCTAAGCTTAGTTTTGCTCCCATTACACAGGGGTTGATTATTTTTTTTTCTGTTAACGGTGAAGGTAGTAACTATTTTTTAGGCTTTGCAGACTGTATGGTCCCTGTCAGAACTATTCAGCTCTGTCATTGTAATGTAAAAGTACCTAGAGAAAATACAAAAATGAACAAGGGTGGCTGTATTCCAGTACAACTTTGTTTCTAAAAACAGGCAGCTGAATTTGGGTTTGCCAACCCTTGTAACATAAGTATTTTAATTATGTATATAATTGTATTGCATAGTAAATTTTACTGCTTTTCTCTACTCTTGTTTGAATTTCTGTTCTTTATTTGCAGTTAGTAAGCATAGTTAACCAAAATGTTTTGGTAGAATACAGCAAGTTCCCAAATTATGACCAAGCTCCATTCTAGGACAATGTTCATAAGTTGAATTTTCTTCCAAAGTCCAACAGTAGTCTTATATGGTATACCTGGGCAAGTTCGCAACTCGAAGGTTCATAAGCCAGAACCTTACTGTTTTCATTCAAAATTGGTCTTCAGTCCTCAGAGGAGATTCTTCAGTTTAGATTATTTTGTGATCAGCAAATTAAGTGGCCTTAAAATTTCATACTCTTTAGTTAACTTCAGAAGGTTAAAAAATATTTGAAATTATCTTTTCTATTTTAACATTGATGAATTCCTTTTATTTGCCTTTCTGCTTAATCTAAGATTATTTTACCAAATACGTTGAGTGGTTATCTTAGAGACAAAATTGAACTCAAAATAATTTTCAGTAGTATTGACCTTTCTATGCAGCTGTAGCTCTAATTTAGTCCTGGAGGGTTTGGAATAGATCATTAATTATATTACATTCCTGTTGCTATAATTTACACTTCAAATTTTAGAAATTTTTTTCATTATCACATCCTCATAACTACTGAAAGAAATTTAAAATTTTCAATCTCTTGTTTATATACACTCTACTCATGTAACACAAAAATAACACTTTTTAAAATGTAAAAATCATAGCCAGGCATGGTGGTATACACCTGTAATCCCAGCCCTTTGGGGTGGGTAAGGCAAGAGGATGACAAATTTGAGGCCAACCTGGAAAAATTAGCAACTTAGCAAGACCTTGTCTCAAAATAATAAAAATCTAAACAGAGCTTTGGAGTGTAGCTCAGTGTAAAAGCCCACAGTTCAGTCTCCAGTACCAAAACAAAACAGAACTGGCTTTCATGGCTCAGCCCAAGGTGACTGGAAGTACATGAAGTTATTTCCTCTATTCACCTTCCTTTGTTAAAACAAAACACCAGAATTCTGACTGGTTGGATAAATGTGATTCATGTTTTGTCTTGTAATGCAACTATTTTGATGGTTGGCTTCACAGCTGAGGCGAGCCACCATTTCAAACCCAATAACAGGAGACTTGGAGACCGTACATTACAGAATTAGCAAAAGGTAAGAGATGTGTATGCTGCATATTTTGCCCTCTAATGAGTGTTTTGTACATCCTACAGGAATTTTTATTCCTTTAGGCGAAATAGGTCATTTTCAGTCTCCTGCTCAAGTCACCACCTTTCCCATGAACAGGATAACGCATGGATAAACTGCTTTGTGTTTCACAGGTTTTTTCTTTTAACTAGAAGTTCTGTTTTTAATCTGTAGCTGGTCTATTTGTTTAGCAAATTAATATACTTTTTTTTAAGATGAGGTATCAGATATCTAGGAAAGAGCCTGATATTTATTTTCTTTTTCTCTTTGTTGTCAAAGTAGAAAATAAAAAGCAGCAGACTGGTTAGTCTGAGAATAGTCTGTGCTTCTGCAGTTCTGTTTGTAAGGGCTGCTGTCATTCTGGCATTCATTCGTATGACTTATAAAATATCACTGTTATTATGGAGTAATCTGTATTCCTCCTGTTGGAGTTTTATTTTTAAAAGCTTGCTGACTCAAATGTTGGCAATGGAAAGAATTGTGCTTCTGAATTCAGTCTTCCAAAATTACTTGTTGAACTTAGTTGTCTTTTATTTTGTATATTGAGAAACAGTTTTATCTGGTGAGATTTTAAAAAATGAACTTCAGACTAATTTTTCCCTAAATTTTAAAGAACATTTAACTTCTAGATCTGGGAAAGCTCCTGTGAAACCCAGTGCTATATATCATTTACATAAAGCTTCAAACGCTTTTCTTAAAAAAAGTGAAAGGACAATAAATCTACAGCAAAAATCTGTCAACCCACTCTTCTCTGACTTTGAAGTGGCTGTTCTAACTGCCACCTTTCCAAACATTTTTGCTGCTTTTGAAATCATTACCTGCCATCCTGAGCAGCCTGAATCCTTCCAATCACCTGTGGCTTGGCAAAACAAAACAACAAAAGCCCCAAATTGCCTGCTACTAGAGTAAGTTCTTGTCCTTTCTCTTTTTTTTTTTTTTTTGTAGCTAAGCCGAGCTACAGTACATGACCCTGAGACTGGAAAATTGACCACAGCACAATACAGAGTATCTAAGAGGTAAGGTAGAACTGGAGTCATATTTGGGTCTAATTTCTACAAAGTCCATGATACGGTTTTTGAGACCCAAGCTGTTAGGTGTAGGTATTTGAAGACATCTGTGCTTGAATTTTCATGATGGACTAATAAATAGACATGGTTATGGGGAATTAGTAGACTGCTAAAGAAATTTATTAAATTACAAAATGCCTGATGAGGCTTTTTAAACCCTGCTAAGCAAAGTCATATTCTCATATTGAAGTAAAAGAAGTTCCCAAAGATGTTTTACAGAGCAAGACCTTGTTGTAAAGCTAGGTTTAAAAATCTCTGGGTCTCCAGTAGCTGTAGATATTAAGAAAATAAATTCCTTGAAGGACTATATAATAAGTCAGTCAGTTTCAAATTTCAAATTTAGCAGTGTTTGAAGAAACTCTAAGTTAGGTTTTAACTAATAGATAACTAAAGTAATTTTTAAAACTAGATCATGGAGCATAACTTAGGAAGAGCTCACAGAACTGAATGACATTACTGCAACAGAAATCCTTTTTCATTGACTTATTCATATAAAAACATTTCTCTGCTTATAAATATGAAAATAGAAACAGCCTTGCAGTAAATTGTTTTATTTTAAACCTAATATTTACACACAGATAAAACAACTAATTTAAATAAACACAAGTCTTATCCATCTCACTAGGAAGATTTAAATGTATTATCTGTATTTACATTTGTTTTTTGTTTTTTGTTTTTTTTTTAATTTTATTTAAGGAGAAAAGAAAAAAAAAGCAGGGAAAGGGTACAAGTTATACAGATTTACAGAAAAAAAAGAACAGTAGGAAATCACTAGTTAATGGATTACATATTGTCATCTTAGAAATAATTGTTCAAGTCACAAAATTAAAGCTTGTAAAGTGGACATTCCATCAATGATACTGCAAACAGTTCTGTTCATTGATCCAATAAAACTCTGTGATATCATTTTCTATCTTATACATTTAAATATACATGCAGTTATATAGTTTGGAGCACTTTCTTTTCCTCTCTTTTGTACCATGACTATTACACATTTTGGGTTTCATTGCTCCCACGGTTCTTATTACTTTTTTGGAAGAGAGTAAAACCAAATGTGACATAACAGAACAGAATCAGTCAAGTCAAAAGGGTGGACATAATAGATAATGTAAAAACATAATACAAGGTGATCAACAATGGTTACCATAATGCCTCCCGCTATCTCTAATAGAATTGCCTATATCGTTAGTTATAATACAATTGAACAAAACAGTAAAGAATAAAACCGACAAAACCAAAACATTGGAGACATTGTAGGTCTTCAAAAGTAGATAAAAGTCAACAAGAATGGGCGTCATAATGAATCTCATTATCTTCACAGCTGATGCCTAAACTTTCGAACCTGATACTATCCAGCAAAACAGAATAGGGGAACATCAGTTAAAAACCAGATGGTGAGAGTAATACAGGGCTTTAAATCAAGGTAATGAAAAGTCAAAGTGGGTTACTATAATATATCCTGCTATTTTTTCCCTTTAATTAAAAGATAAAGATAAAAAAGTAAATAATGGAGTGGAGATTGAGATAAAAGAGGGCATAACAACGAAACAGCGCAGATCAAAACATAACCATTTAAGCAGAGTAGTGTTTCACCACCAGATAATCCTAACCTAAAAGTAGTTACCATATTGTCTTTCTTTGAAATCCTTGAGTACAACTTCGTATACTGTAGCATTAAGTATATCAAAACAATGTAAAACCATTCAAGAGAATGACAGCATTACAGAGTATTTAGAATCGACTAACAGAAAATGAACAATGGTTTCTGTATAATCTCCTTGTCTTTAAAAGGTTTTTGCTTATACTATCATACATAATAAAATCCAATAAGATACAGCCTATTTAGACCATTGGAGACAGAAGGACAAAAGCTAGATGAGACTTCAAAACAAGATGATACTAAATCAGTATTACCTATTAAGATGTCATTTTCTCCAAAATAGCTGTTCCTATCATCCAATCTTCTCTGCCTCATTTCTGTTGAGCTCTTTTTCTGTCAGTAGCTGTAAGTTTGTCGTCTTCATTTTGTTCTCTGCTCCATTCGTTGTGGCCTCTCTGCCATTATTTCTGGATTCTATTTTTCTTTTTTTAGAATATCCTGCAATACTCTCTGTAGAGTTGAATTGGTGGTTGCAAATTCCCCCAGTTCCTCTTTATCCTGGAAGCACCTTGTTTTTCCATCAATTTCCAGGGACAGTTGTGCAGGATATCTCAATCTTGGCTGGAGATTATTATCTTTCAAAGCTTGAATTATTTCCCCCCACGCTCTTCGTGATTTGATGGTTTGTGCAGAGAAATCTGCTGTAATTCTGATGGGTGTTCCCTTGTAAGTGGTCTGTTTCTTGTCTCTGACAGCTTTTAATATTCTGTTCTTGTATTGAATTTCTGGAATTTTGATTATTATATGCCTGGGTGTAGCTCTGTTTGGGTTGTAGGTAGCTGGGGTCCTGTATGCCTCATACATCTGAGTATCTTTACCTTTTGCTAAATTAGGAAAATTCTCCTGGATTATTTCTGTGAGTAGCTTTTGTAGTTCACTTGTTTGTGTCCCTACTTCTTCTTTTATGTTCTTAATCCTTAAGTTATGGATCCTCTTATCATCTTCTTGTCTTTGTATTATTGCTGTTTGTTTCTTTGTTATTTTTAAGAAGTTTTTCATTTCATTCTCCCATATTACAAGTCTGCCCTCCTGTTCAGATAGTCTGTCCTTAGTTTCTTTCAAGCTGTTATGCCAGTCTTCGATAGACTTCTTAGTATCTTGGTAGTCCCTTTGAACCTGCTTCACGTATTCTATGCTTTCTCTGTTTTCTCCATCAAACAATTCTCCCCTTTTTTTCTGTTCTTCCATTCCACCACCTGTTTTTTCTTGGGTGGTACTTAGCATTTCTCTAACTATTCTGCATACTTCTAGCTTCAGGTCGTTGATAACTTCATTCCTGAATTGGTCTATGAGGCTCTCTATATGGCACCTTATGTGTATTGGTGCGGTGTCTGCTATTGCCTGTTTCTCAGAATTGGGGGCCGAGGAGCCTTTCTTGTTGCTGCCTCTTCCCATGCTGCCTCTTCTTCTCTGTTCCTTATATATGCAAGCTTATATAAGAGGCCCAGCTTCTCTCCCAGTCAGCCACAGCCTGATCAAATTGTGCCAGTTAGGTGTTCCCGCTCACCGCTGCGCACCAGGGAGTTACGGACCAGGCAGCCTACGCGTCTCCCCTCCCGGCCACCTTCAGGCTCTGGGATCTGGGTTGGGACAGCCTACCAGGTCCACCGGCAGCGTCACATAGGCCAGGCACTTTTCACCAATCCCGCCCGAGAGGGGGATGTGTGGCTGGAGTCGCCACCGTGCCCTGCTCCCGCAGGACTGCCCGGGCCCAGAAAGTCCTCTGCTGGAGTCAAACTGTGGTACAGTGTCAGTTTCTCTCACTCACCTCACCACAAGTCAGTGTACGCCTCCCTGCCGTTCGCAGATTGCCATTCTCAGAGCTTCTGTGCGTCTCTCCCCTTGCCGAGCCACTGTAGAGGCAGCCAGCCGCCGCGCGGCGGGAAACCCAAATCGCGGCTTACAATGGCGCAGGGTCCAGCCTCCACACCGAGGCTTTTCTGTTCCTGTTTTAGCACTAGGACTGCATTGCAAGTTGGTTTCTCTCAGCCCAGTTCGTTCCTGAGTCAGCAGAGCATATCTCCACCTGCTTATGTCTCCATAGTCCGCACCATTCCTGGCTTCTGAGCCGAGTCTTTCAGAGAGCCTCCGGTAGTTGCTGTTATCTGTCCGCCATGTTCTCCCGGAAGTCCTGTATTTACATTTGATAGTGATTTTTTAATCAATTTTATTTAGATTAATGTGCACTAATAATTGCAATAACATTATTAACAGGTCTTTATAATATAGAAATTTTTGTCAATTATATAAATATATTTTAGAGATATAAGGTACTGAGTCGCAGACTTTCAGGTATAAAAATATATCAGTTCTTTTCCTTTAATGTTTTTATTATGTTTATTGGTACACTTTAGATATTCATAATGATTGTATTCATTTAGGAAATTTTACCTGTACATGATATATCTTTGATTCCTCTTTCCCCATTCCCCTCCCTTCAACCCCTCTTCTTTCCTTATTTACAAAAAAATATGTATCCCTTTAAGAAGTGGTTTCTCAGGGCTGGGGATTTAGCTCAGCGGCATAAGCGCCTGCCTCGTAAGCAGGCAGTCATGAGTTCGATCCCTGGTACCAATGAAAAGGAAAAAGACAAAAAAAAAAAAATTTTAAGTATTAAAAATTATTTCTTATATTTTAAAAGCAGATAATGATGGGTGCCAAGTTGTTACGATATTTAGATTCCAATGGATACATTAAAAATAATTATTTTCCATAAATTGTTAATATTTTCAATGTGACATAAAATCATTTAAAACTAAGTTACAAAAACTTCAGTTAACTAGAAAATTATGGAAGAGGTACATATATTTTAAGAAGTACTTTAGGAGATGCTCAAAGAAAAAAAATGTTTTATTTTGAGACCTGGTCTCTCTGTAATTTAGGCCAGCCTTGAGCTACTGTATAGCCCAGGCTGGTCTGGAACTTGAGATCTTTCTGCTTCAGCCTCCATGATGCTGAGATAGATTACACTCACGTTCCACCCTTCCCAGCTCTCAAAAATGTGATGATTACTGCTGTAAATCATAGCAAAAGTATCATGAAGCCTACACAGAATATTGCATTGATTCAGTATTCTCTTACCCTTTTAGGGGAAAAAGTTGTATGTTGTTGATATATTAACCTTAAACATCATCTTACACATACTCTAATTTCCTGTCTGTGCTGCATCCACCCCTTGCCTTCTTACCATGTTAAGAAAAAGTTTTTTTTCTCAACCTTCACTAGCTAGTTCATTGACTGAGACCCCTATTAAAAAAAAGTAACTAGAGAAAAGCCTACAAAGTCAAAG